ACCGCTTCTCTTTAAGCTGTCTTAAGATGAGAATTGAAAATTAATGTTCACCATTTGATCCATTAATGTATTAAATCAAATTATAATGAGCAGCTAGGCGTAATAGTTGACTTCCTTCCACCTCCCTTGCCCCACAAGTGAGTCTGAATGCCTGCTTCATCTGAAGAAGCTAAAATGGTCTTTTCCCTCAAGGCTGGCCTTCAGCTTGGCTTCCCAGTTCACAGTCCTTTCTTGAAGAGCATCTTAGTTGTCCAATCAGGAAAGAGAGCTGTTTCAATGCTAGCCCTCTTTCAAAGGTTGGGGGATATAGAAGGACTGGAAGAACCTGGGAGTGGAGTTAAAAAAGGGATCAGCCTAGAATCCCTATGTAGCCACAAGCCAACTAAGCCCAACCCCCCCTTGATTTCCATTGACTCATTTAACTCCAGGCTATTCATTGAGAATATTCCTATGCATAGGCATGAATAGCAACAAATCAGTTTAACTGGATCTTCATGTGTGGGCCTAGTCTTTTGCCCTTGAGAGGGGAGGTCGGAATAGAGATGGTCCAGAAAGTATTTTCCAGCTTTTGCTTTTATCTGTCGTCAACTGTTCTATCCACCAGTAGTATTGAGGTTTATTCACACCTGGGCTTTGAATTGGGCTGCAACTGTATTAAATACTTGGTTGCAGGAACTTGGTGTAATTTAATGAAAAGAAGGACTAGGGGAGACATGATAGCAGTGTTCCAATATCTTAAGGGCTGCCATAAAGAAGAGGGAGTCAAGCTATTCTCCAAAGCACCTGAAGGCAGGACAAGAAGCAATGGGTGGAAACTAAACAAGGAGAGAAGCAACTTAGAACTAAGGAGAAATTTCCTGACAATTAGAACAATCAATCATTGGAACCACTTGTCTCCAGAAGTTGTGAATGCTCCCACACTGGGAGTTTTTAAGAAGATGTTGGATAACCATTTGTCTATAGTGGTGTGGGGTTTCCTGCCTAAACGGGGTTGGACTAGAAGACCTCCAAGGTCACTTCCAATTCTGTTATTCTATTCTATTCTACTAAACAGCTGGATATATTCCTTCTTTCTCTCTCTCCTCCCTCCACCCATCCCCCCTACTTTAACACATTAGGCACCAAATGTGAAAATACACCCTGATGAGGAGGCTTCCATCCAAGGATGATGTTTTCCCTTCACATCATTCCCAGGTAGATCCTTGTCCGATGAATCCATGCATAGGAATTCCCTCTGATGTGATGGGGATGCAGTCCTCTCTTCCATGCTTGAGAAATAATGTCACTGGCAAAGAAAGGATCTTATTTACAAAAGAGACACCAGAAAAAAAAGTGTTAATTCTAGGACATGCCTTTGTTTTACATTATGCACCTATCTACTTAATAACTAAACAACTCATCCTCCTGGCCCATACATGCATTGTTAATCATGTATATTGGATCCTGAAATTATCACAATGCTATGATTTATATATTGATATGGTAGAAATGAATATAAAATATATGTTTGTTATGGCCAGCATTGAGATTCATTCATACTTGAGCTTTAAATTGGGTGGCAATTCTATTAAATAATAAATAGCTGTCTATAAGAGGAAGGAAAACAGTGCTGCTTCTGAAATCTACTACTCAAATGATTGCTTCGAATTGATTTATAAGAGATATCCTGGTTTGTAGTTTTTTTTGCCATCATTTATAGTTTTGTCCTGTTAGCTTCCGGTGACACAGTAGATGGTATATCTCAGTCTGATGGGATATTTTGATTAAATATTGCTTGGATATAGAGTCTCACACATTATTAAGCCATTGCTTGGTTAAACATGGTTTACTGAATAAACTCTAATAGCTGGTTGCACAAACCCAACTGTGAATCATATAAACCAGAGCAGCTTGTTTTATACAACATGCTAAACTGAAACTAAGTACTATGTGGCAATGTGCTATAAATATACAACGACATGGAAATCAATGTAGTTTCAGGTTAGAACCAACCTGTGTTAAGTGAAGGGGGCTTGTTGGCTCGGCAGTTAAAAGACCCTGAGCTTGTCACCTGGAAGCCTGGGTTTGAGACCTGAGCGCCACACTATGGGGTGAGCCCCTTTACTTGCCTTAGCTCCTGCCCACTTAGCAATTCGAAAGCATGTGAATGTGAGTAGATCAATAAGTACCACTTCGGTGGGAAGTAATGGTGTTCTGTGTGCCTTGGTGTATAGTGACATTGGCCACATGATCATGGAGAGAATATTTGGACAACACTGGGTCCCTCTGCTAAGAAATGGAGATAAGCACCGCTCCCTAGAGTCGGAAGTGACCGGACAAGGGAAATCTTTACCTTTGCCTATATTAACTAAACAGGTTCATCTTTAATGTTGAGATGATGGAATCAAGGACTTAGATTGTGTGTACTATTTCCCTACAGAAAAAAGTACAATAGAAATAATCAGTTGTTTCAGCAGACATCATAACGGGGGTATTTTTCCTGTCTCTGTGTCTAAGGAAATACTTAGATCAGAATTTCTAAGTCTGAGTCACTTTAAGA